CATTTAATATATTTTCAATTTTCACTTTTAGCAATATCTAATATTTTATATTTGCACCATTCATTTATTGAGATGATTATATATGTTTTGTACAATTATAACTTATAATAAAATTAACTTACAATTTTAAATAAAAATAATAAATGATCAAAAATTAATTTATCAATATTATACGCCAAAGTTAAGATGTAAAAATTATTATTATAAAGATATTACATAAACATAATTAGGTATATATAAAAAGATAAATTATAAGAGTTAAATAATAAAAATAATAATAAAATAAATATGAATAGTAATGGAGGAGATGAATAGTGTCACTCCATATTTGGAGTAACACTATTCATCAAAAAAGGGGAGTATTGGAGCTCATTAATGACAAAAATTGCCCCCGTTATGGAGAGATGAGTCTGACCCGTTATTATCTTCTTCTAAGTAGAAGACAGCTCGTTATTGCTTAGCTTGCTTGAGTTAGTATTTCTTCTTTGTCTAGAATCTTCAAATCTCTTCAATTTAGACCCTAATAGCCTATATAAGCACTATTATAGATATTGAAGAGGAACCTTTTTATAATAGCAAAGCGGCTAGGGTTATTAGTATGAGTGGCAAACAGGCGAGTCAGGTCAGATCGGATATGGCTCCGGTCGAAAACGGGTAATGAAAAAACGGATAAATTATTTGATCCGAACTATATTTAATACGGATAAAAAATGGGTGAACCAGCGGATAATATGGGTAACCATATTATCCATGACTTATTGCATATGATCACTTTGGTAAAAATTATTAATCTCCCTAACTTGAGTAACCCCAATTTGAGGCTTTACAAACGTTAAAGTTAGACTCATTGATTATCCATTTTTTACATGGATAATATAAATCTTATACATATTTGACCCGTTTTAAAAAAATTTATTATCCGACACATTTTTAATGGATAATATGAATGATTAACTATTTTTTTTTAACCATTTTGCCCCTCGTTTTGTAGTATGATTCCTATGAAAACAAAGAATTCCGACGACCATTAGTTCGAATCGTAATTATTACAAACGATCCACTTCCGTTAAAGAGAAAATATATATAAGTCTCTTAACTAGTCTTTCCTACAATCTTGTTTTCTAGTGTAAAGTGGACCAAAGAGAAAACAAAGGATTGCGTGGTCATTTTTCAACACACCAAATGGCAATCCATCAGCTTTATTAAAGAAAACGATAAAAAGTGAATACACTACACCTTGTCTCCCAATTTTAAAAAAAATAAATTGTGCAAATTGAAAAACACCTGTTATTTAGACAAAACCTCCACCCTGATAATTAATAATAGAAACTAAGAGTTTGTACAGAATCGGGTTCTTTATCAGTTTCACATAACAGACACAACAATAAGTAAATGAGACAGCAGAGTTATATGTCAGCTCACGGGATTAGAAATCACAAGCTACACAGGATTTCAACTTCCTTAACTTAGCAAACTTTAAATTACAACCTATTATAATATAGAAATTAACCTCTTAATATCTCACCTACTGTTACCACCGAGAAATAGTTAAGCAACAGTGCAGCAATTTTAAAGTTGTAGAGAATTGACTTGTACCGCCACCGGAGGAACTGATAGCCATATGTTCCGCACTATCTGGGTTTCGGATCCTAACATAAATTTACGTGGACATTATTGAGATAATAATTGAATTGTTGTTTGGGTCTTTTCCACAAGTCTTCACTCCACTGCTCGTGCTTTCATATATATTTTTGATTAATAAAGCCAAGTGGCCACAGAAAAGAGAGTGAAAAGAAACATAAAATTCTATTGAACCTCTACACTCAGAGAAGAGAAATGGCTTATGCTGCTATGTCTTCACTTATGCATACGCTGGAGCGTATCTTGCAGTCTAAATCACCTTTGATTTATAGAAGCTGTATACAACAACTAGAGGCGGAGCCATAATTTTAAGTTTATGGGTTCGGGATTCTAACTCTTTTAAGTTACTGGGTTCTAAAATAATAATTTGTATATATTTTATGAATTTCACAAGACAAATACAGAGTCTGCTCAAAAATTACTGGGTTCGACCGAACCCGTAAGCGTAGGGCTAGCTCCGCCCCTGACAACAACAACTTGTTGAATCTGCTTTTCAAAGTTTTTCTGCTCTTCAAGTTTTTCTTGAGGATACTTCAAAGGAAATCAAAGATATTGAAACTTTGAAGATTATAGAAAAAAGGATCAGAGATATAGTCAACAAAGCAGAAGAGAGAGTTGATTCAACCCTTAGAATAATCATTCTAGTAGATCAACACAAACGAGAACAAGCTTGTAAATCCTTCAATGAGGAATTGCAAAAAGTGCAAAAAGAAGTTGATTCTCTAAGGAAAGAATTGATGGAGATTGAGTTTATCGAGCATGGAAGCAAATTTGCAGAAGCAAGTACTTCTACCTCATCAAAAAGGTATGCGACCGAGCAACATACTGTTGTCGGGATGAAGGATGACTTCGACACCATACTAGATCGTCTCACTGCCCAAACAGATGAGCTAACTGTCATACCTGTTGTTGGTATGGGCGGTATAGGTAAGACAACTCTTGCTAGAAAAGTTTATGATGATTCAACAATCCGTTATAGATTTGATNTCGTTATAGGTTTGGAAAACATGCATGGGTAACTATCTCTAAGTTTATAACGAGAGACAGATGCTTCTTGAACTTGTCTCTTCAATTAGCCAGAGTAGGACTGATGAAAGTAATCAGAAAATGAGCAACGATCAACTAGCAGAGATTGTGTATAGAGGTGTGATTGGTAGGAGATTTTTAATTGTCATAGATGATCTTTGGAGTACTGAGGCTTGGGATCAAATATAAAGAATATTCCCAAATGACAACAATAGAAGTCGAATCCTATTAACTACTCGCCTTAGTTATGTGGCTGATTATGCAAGCTCTGATTTTCCTCATCATAATATATCTTTTCTAAGTTTTGATGAGAGTTGGATTTATTTACCGAAAGACTTCTTAGAGAAGGCATATGTCGTCCTCACCTAGATGAAATTGGGAAGCATATCATAGAGCAATGCCGAGGATTACCTCTCTCGATTGTTGTTGTTGCTGGACTTCTTGGAAAGATAGATCCGACCCGTGACAATTGAAAGAAAGTTCAGGAAAATTTGAACTTATTCTTTGGTACGGTATCTGAACGGTGTCAATCAATTCTTTCATTGAGCTACAGTTACTTGCCCCAACATTTGAAGGATTGTTTTCTCTATGTTGGAGGTTTTCCTGAAGATATGGAGATTAGGGTTTCAAAGTTTGATTAAACTATGGATTGCTTAGCTATTTGTAAGGGCAAGAAGCAATAAAAGGTAAGAAATGGTGGCAGAGGAGTATCTAGAAGAGTAATGGAAGGATTAAAACTTGCAAAATTCATGATCTTCTTCGGCAGCTCTGCATAAGAGAAGCTCAAATTGAGAATTTTGTGCATGTCCTGAGTGATAGTGACCACATTTCCTCAGAAAGCATAAAATATCAACAACAACAACAATCCAAACCCAGTATAATTCCACTAGTGGGGTCTGAGAGGGTAGTGTGTACACAGACCTTACCCCTACCAGGTTAGAGAGGTTGTTTCCAAATAAACTCTCGGCATCCTTCCCGCCAAGAACTCCCCACCTTACTCTTGGGGTGACTCGAACTCACAATCTCTTGGTTGGAAGTAAGGGTTGCTTACCATCAGAGCAAGTGAGCAACCCCTCTTATCAAGGGTTCGAACCATAAACTCAGTCATTAATGCTTGTATTGGGGTGGGCTGCCTATATCACACCCCTTTGGGGTGCAGCCCTGCATCGGACTCCGCGTGAACGCGAGATACTTTGTGCACTGAGCTGCAGGGACTTTATGTTTTCTTTTTCTTCTTTTTAGTCAAATCTGTATTCACGCGTATAGTAGTTAGATCCCTGGAATGTTTGAATATTTGTAATAAATGATTTCCTGTAATTATATGACTGTTTAGTACTAAAAATGGGTAACAATTAAATTTATATGCGGTTTAAAGGATATGTGATTCAATTTAATACGAATGATCTAAGAATAACAACTAATTAAGTTAAAGATAAAATGAAAGATCAAACCAATTGTAATGTGATGATCAAGTTTGATCTCAACATGAACAGTGAAATTCAACCTCGATCGGACCCTTGATATAAGCTCGGATGCGAATAAGAAAAGAGAACAACTGAGGAACACTTTAAATAATAGCTAGAAGACAAAAATATACTTTTATTGCTTTTATTTGCGTGTCAACAATGTGTTAGAATAAAAGAAGCTTTTCCCCTTTATATAGTAGGGGAATTTCAGTCCTAATTCAAGTCTAAATAAGGTAAAAATCTTCTTTTTCCGATAAATTTTATTCCGTAGTTGATATCGGACAGGATTCTCCGTAATATCCGGTTGAGGGCGAATATTACGGCTCCTTACTTGCATGCATAACTATTTCTCGCGTTTCCCATGGTCTAGGAGCTTTACTTGGGCTAGGTCCGTTATTTTACCATGGCCGATCCCAGGTACATTGTTCACTCCTCCCGGGTTCAGATGCGAGTGGTCCTTCGGCCTCGCTTATAGTCCCGTCGAACCGTACCTCCCTCTTGTTTCTTTATTGGGGAATCGGGAAAAACTTTGCCCCAATTTTACCCGTACACAATGACACAATTGGGAAAAATGTGTGATGATACAAAAAGATAAAAGGATTTTGAAAAGAAAATAAATTAATATATGAAAGCAAAAAGAAGTAAACTAAGGTTTTCTCTATACCTTATATTTTAATCCTGAAGGTAACTTTCTATTTATGTTGAGAGGCCAGACATCACCAATAAAAACAAGGGAAAATCCTCTAAAAACAAGCTATCCATAGAATACTCTGAGAAACAGCAAAACCATTAATCCCTGATTTAATCTTTAACCATATTCACATCATTTACCCGTATTTTTACCTTTTGGGTAAAAGTTGATTTTCCTACTGTAATTTTCTTCTTAATAAACTTTCGAAAGAATTATAGATTATAATGTCAAAAAAAGACATAAAAGCAGTTGAAGAAGGGGATTGCTCAGGTTATAAACAACATGCTAATGAAGAAGATTCAAGCCTCTGCACCTCACCTGAGGTTGTCATTATCATTCAAAAGGTATGTTAAGTCATCTTGAAATGTATTTAATTCTAGAAACAAAAATGAGAAATTCTTAGGGATACAATTTTTTTTATGAAATCTTTTTTTTGGGATTTTATTATAGGTGATAGCGGAGGCGATCGGCACGTATTTTTTGATATTTGTAGGATGTGGTGCAGTAGCAGTAAATAAAACATATGGTTCAGTAACATTTCCAGGAATATGTGTGGCATGGGGTTTAATTGTTATGGTTATGGTCTATTCTGTTGGTCATATTTCTGGTGCACATTTCAATCCTGCAGTTACCATTGCCTTTGCCATCTTTAGGCATTTCCCCTTCAAACAGGTTTATTCATCTTTTCCTTCCCTTTTATACCATTATTACCAAAAGAACGTAAAATCATCATGCAATACAATTTTGTACCGCGTGTATTGGAATGTGATGTGTCAAATGGACCATCATGCATACTAATATTCATTTAACAAACCCCAGTTGACTCAAGACTAAAGCATAGATGATTACAATTTCGTATCGCGTGTATTGAAATATAACGTATCAAATGGAACATAATGTAGGCTAATGATTCATATAGCAGACAGCTGACTCGAGACTAATGCATAGATAATTACGATTTCGTACCCAGTGTATTAGAACCTGACGTATCAAATGGAACATAATATATACTAATGATTCATATAGCAGACCTAAGCTGACTCGAGACTAAGGCATAGATGATTATAATTTTGTACCGAGTGTATTGGAACCTGACGTGTCAAATGGACCCTAAAGTATGCTAATGATTCATATAGCAGACCTCAGCTGACTCGAGACTAAGGCATAGATGATTACAATTCGTACCGTGTGTATTGGAACGTGACGTGTCAAATGGAACATAATGTATACTAATGATTAATATAGTAGACCCCAGCTGACTCGAGACTAAGGCATAGATGATTACAATTTTGTACCGCGTGTATTGAAACGTGACGTGTCAAATGGAACATAATGTATACTAATGATTTATATAGCAAACCCCTGTTGACTTGAGACTAAGGCATGGCCTTATTTGTTTGCATTTAATGGAGTTCTGAATCTTAATCATTTAGATCTCATACATTAAGTGTCTTTGTTTTTTAAGTCTGAATCTGAATTATTCAAATCTTGTTCATTAAGTGTGTTTGTTTTTTCGGAAAAGGCCTAAAAACCACTCAACTTTCAGAAATGGTCTATCCATGCCATCCGTAAAAAAATGCTCATTTCATACCACTGCCGTTACACATTTGGCCTATCCATGCCATTATTGACTAACGACTCAATTTTTATTTTTTTAAATATTTATAACACCCAAATTTCTACGTGTCGTGTTGTTATTGGTCCGAATTAACCCATGCCCCACTTAATTTTAACCTTGGTTAGGACCACCTACCCAAACTCGACCCGGTTAAAACATTCCCAAATCAATAATCCAACCCAAAATCTTTATACCAAATCCCCTTCTCTCCGGTCGTCTTCCCCACTTAGTTCAAGGTACTAGCAAAGAAGTAATTCGGAGAAGAAAGAAAAGACGTTTCCGCCGCCATTATCGTCCTTAAACCAAGATGGAAAGCCAAATTTCTTCATGCGTGCGGTGAGAAAAGATGGAAGGTTAGAGTTGATAGAGGTGAAAATTGGTCGGCCCGAAACTCTCCTTGCTTCCGGCCAAGATAGACGGCTGAGATTACATCTCATTCGTGATGAAGAAGAAGAAACAGAAGAGGAAAACGAAGATTTCCCCTGGACTATGAAGAAGATGTGATTGAAACAATTCAAGAAAATGATGAAGAAATACTTGAATAAGAATAAGAAGAAGACAAGGTTGAAGAGTGGAAGTTTCCGATGACAAGCGGTGGCAGTGGAGGTGGTGTTCGGAGATGTTACGGTGGTCATGACCATCATCGTCATAACAATCACTGCCATGATTTACATCTTGGGGAAGACGATTGGAGAGAAGGGGATTTGGTATGAAGGGTTTGAGTTGGGTTAATGATTCGGGTAAGTTTTAATCGGGTGGGTTTGGGTAGATGGACCTAATCAAGATTAAAATTAAGTGGGACATGGGTTAACTCGGACCAATAACGACATGACGCATGGAAATGTGGGTGTTATAAATATTTTAAAAAAAAATAAAAATTGAGTCGTTAGTCAATAATGGCATGGATGAGCCAAATATGTAACGGCAGTGGCATGAAATGAGCATTTTTTAAACGGATGACATGGATAGACCATTTCTGAAAGTTGAGTGGCATTTTTTGGCCTTTTCCGTTATTTTTTTTAATTTCACAACCACTTAATGGGTCTGAATATGTCTGAATAATTCGGATCTATAACAAAGACTTAATTTTATTAAGATGTTACTATCCATATTCACAATTAATTATTGTCATTGTCCATCATTATCAACTACTACCATACACCACCCACCACTTCCTTACTCAACCACCACCACTCTAAGTATAATCGTCACTGCGATCATTATTGACTACCACTACTTGCCATCTCACCATTATTGACTACTACAACTCACTACGCCATAATTGTCAATTGTCACCACCACCACGATCATCATCCACCACAACCACCCACTCACCCACCTCAACTACACTACCAACTATCTCCACTACCATTATTAACCATAATATCTGGTATCCACCATTATGAACTACCACCACTTCCCCAACCATCACCACTACCTTCTACCATTATCAACTACCACCAACCACAATTCTCAATCATAATCTCTACTACCAATCACCACTATCTATTACATCAAACCACCACTGTCAACCAAAATCACTTCCAACCACCACCTCTAGCCGGTATTCATAAATACTACTGTTAGCTATCACCATCGTCAATTACCATATATTTATTTAAAATAATATTTTCTTGATAATTATTAAGTAAATTAGTATTTTATTTAAATTATATAATTATTAATTTTTAAATAAAGATAAATTATATTCATTCAGATATTAAAAAAAACGAACAGTCTTAATCATTTAATATTTAGATCTTAATCATTAAGCATTCAGATGTGTATTCAGATTCAGACATCTTAACCTTAATACACATTTTAATATTCAGATGTACATTCAAATTCAAACGTCTTTATCTTAGAAAACAAATAAGGCCTAGATGATTATAATTTCATACCGCGTGTATTGGAACGTGATGTGTCAAATGGAACCTAATGTATATATACTATTGATTCATATAGTAGACCCTAGCTGACTCGAGACTAAGGCATAGATGTTGTTGTATGTCTGTACTTTGTTGTCGAAATTAAATTTGGTTTGTTGTGTCTATTGAAGGTGCCATTGTACATATTGGCACAGTTGGTTGGGTCAATTCTTGGAAGTGGAACTTTGTACCTTCTGCTGGATTTGAAGTCTGAGGCATTTTTTGGAACAGCTCCAGTGGGATCAAATGTTCAATCTTTGGTTCTTGAATTCATCATCTCTTACCTCTTAATGTTTGTCATTTCTGGTGTTGCCACTGACAATAGATCTGTGAGTATTTTTTGAGTTACTTCTTTTTAAATTCATATGTTTTGCCTCAATAAATTAAGATTGAGAATACATTTTTTTTAATTTTAATTATAAACAGATTGGAGAGCTTGCAGGAATTGCTATTGGAATGACAATACTCCTAAATGTTTTGGTTGCAGGGTAAGTTCACGTATTTATTTTTCCTTACATTTCTCTTTTTTTTTCACTATAAAAAAGGTAAAGCAGGAAAAGTAATAGATTATCCATTTATTTGAAAGCAGCAAAGTTGACCAATAAGCATTTTCAACTTATAACTTGAGGAAAGAAAAGTATCTCAAGTACAACTACAGTTGTGTATAATTAAAGGTATCATCCATTTTTAGCCTTGCCAAAACGTTCATTTATCATGTACAAGTCCTACCAAGGCATGATATAAGAGTAGCCAACAAACAATAATTACTAAGGAGTGTGGTAGGATAAGTAAGATCCTACGTCCTTAATCGGAGGTCTCAAGTTCGAGCCTTGAGATTGGAGAAACTTATGATAGGAAGCACTTCTCATTACGTGTCTTACGCGACGGGAATCTGAATTAGTCGGTATAAAAGGATTCCGTATAATAAATGGATAAAAAGATAAGAGTAAGCCGATAGTGAATCACCGTTTTTCCCACATTCTCAAAATGTGCATAAAAATACAACTCGGCTTGTTGCAAATCATTCTCCATTAAGTTGCAGGGCGAAGTTACACAGTTGGTCGCTCGGCCAAAATAATTTACAGTTCATAGCCGATATACATTCATATACTATATATGGCTAAACGCATATATACATATATTATACATCTGCCGGCTACGTTTTGGGTTGGACAGCTATTTAGGTTAACTTTTCTTTCTGAGAATTTTTATACAAATAGCCGGCCGAATTTACTGTTTACTTTTCTTAACCAGTATACATAGATTATATGATGATTGTATATTGTTAATCACATATTATTACACATAAATAATACACATATTATACATCTGCCAACTATTTTTAGCTTAAGCGGTTGAGTAAGCAGCTACTTAGGTAGTCTCCTTTCTCGTTAAAATAGCATGGTCTAGCCAGTTTTCGGACTGGTCATTCAAAATAGTCAGCGTTTGCTAAGTCATGGAAAATTAGCCACTATTTTGCTGCAACAGAGACCGGTCCAGCATAATATACTGGAGTTCGGTGCACCTGTGTATGAACTTCCGGCATATTATGCTGGACCGGTATACTTTGTTGGCTCCAGTATAATATACTTGAGCGTGGAGCACCAGTGCTTCAAACTCCAGTATATTATGCTGGACCGGTATATTATACTGGAACTCCAGTATATTATGCTGGAGTATTTTTCCGGATTTTGAACAATATTTTCGTTCAGATTTATCTTTACATGAAAAGTGGCTAAATTTCGATTACTTTTGAAACTGTGGCTATTTTTGAATGACCACTTGTAAATCTGGCTATTTTTGAATTTCTCCCTTCTTTCTCTCACTAAGGCATTCTAAAGGCCCAACTTTAAAAAATTTGCAGGCCAGTATCAGGAGCATCAATGAACCCAGCAAGGAGTATTGGGCCAGCAATTGTGATGCATGAGTACAAAGGGCTTTGGGTTTACATAGTTGGCCCTATATTGGGTACTATAGTTGGTGCTTTCACTTATAACCTAATTAGGTTTACAGAAAAACCACTCAGAGAACTCACAAAAAGTTCAACATTTCTCAAGAGCATGTCCAGAAGCCATACTTAATTTCCATTTTTTTCTTAATTATTCTATTTTTTTTCTGCCTTTGAGCCCTGTGGTTTAACATAAAATAGAGCCACTAGTGGCTTACTAAGAGAAATTTATTAGTAAAAGTAAATAGAATTACAGTTGTTTGAGCCTTATTTTTATGTAGTTGTTTTTTTCTTTTATTAGTAAAAGTAAATAGAGCCCTTTGAGCCTTATTCTTATGTAGTTGTTTTTTTCTTTTAACTTTTTTTATGGGGTGTATGAAACATGTATAGTTTTTAACATGCAAGGTAGTAATTTTACCGCTAACTTCTACTGAGAGAGTGTCGGCAGTGGGAATTGAACCAACAACTTAACAAAAGTTTTAAATTCCCATAACTACTAAGTTATGCTCTTGGAGTTGTATAAAGGGGATTCAAAATATAATATATAAAGATACAAATTGAATTTTACTATTTATGTACACAATGATTTTTTGGCAAAGAGACTTCGGGTGAAACCCCTCCCGCCATCTTAAATCCGTCTCTGGTCACATGCACCTTAAGAAAAAGAATATTAAACAGTAAATATTTGAGATATTCTAGGAAGGATCTCAGTACCATAGCAAAGAAAGTTTGAGGTGCATTTATAATTTCTTAATGAGTCGCACAGGATGTTTGTGCATCTGGATATGCTCATTGAAAGAATTTTCAGGCTGTCAGTAATTTTTACTTTAGTTTACTTTCCTTGTAGAAAGGATTTCACTACCTAAATTTATACTCGTAACATTTTCACTTTAATGAATTAATGAATTAAATCCCAAGAACAGAAAGCCTAGAACCCAAGGACATAATATACTATATAATACTCACCCCACCAAAGTCAATAAAACTAAAGTTCACCCCTAAGGGTATTTAATTATAAAAGTTATTTAATCCCATGCTAAACAAAAGAAGATGAAGAAAGACTTATTATATCCCGTTTGGCAGGATTTTTTTGGGGGCCAAAAATACTTTTTTTTTTTGTCAAAAGTGTTTTTGGCCAAAAAATGAGGTATTTGGCCAAGCTTTTGGAAGGAAAGAAAGTATTTTTGAGGAGAAGCATAAACAGTTTTTGAGAAGCAGAAAAAAATAACTTTTTTTCCAAAAGCATTTTTCTGAGAAGCGCTTTTGAGAAAAATACACTTAGAAGCAGTTTTCAAAAGCTTGACAAAACATTACTTACTGCTCAAAAATACTTTTTAAATTAATTAGTCAAACACAAACTGCTTTTTACTAAAAATACTTTTTTAAAAAATACTTTTTAAAATAAGTTGATTTTAGAAGCTCGGTCAAACGGGCTATTAAGTACTAAATAGTTCTGTATGTAGCTTTTTGTATCTGAATCTCATGTGCTGTGAAAGTCCATGGCTATTTCAGATAATAATAAATAAAATAAAATAAAATAAAAGTGATCAAACACATGGAGTCACATGATATTTTGTAGCTTTCACATGACCTACATTTTCACACCGTCAATTAAAATGGCTTCTAAATTCTATCTACTTTACCTTTCACTTTCCAAAATCTTCAAAAAAAACCATTTCACATCACAATCATTCAGGTGGATAAAAAAAATCTATGTATATTAGTGGTATTTGGATCGATTAGTTTGGGCGCATCTTGACTATTCACAAAATATTATACTATCTTGTTAACACAAGAAACATCAGTCACCAACTTAATTATGTCTACGAAAGTTAGAGTAAACCAAGTATTGCTATTGCAATTTGATTAATTAACGAGTATGACAGTGTTTTGTTTAGTATTGTTAGTAATTTATGTTGTGTTTCACACCTTTGCATAATACTTATGTTACTGTTTTTCTATTTATTTGTTGTCTCTTACGTTGCTGATTATTTTTTGGGTTTTGTTGTCACAAATCTATTGTATCTGAGCTGAGGGTCTCTAGGAAACAGCGTCTCTATCCCTTTAGGGTAGGGGTAAGGTCTGCGTACACTCGATCTACCCTTTCCAGACCTCACTGGTAGAATTTTACTGATTTGTTGTTGTTGTTGATCCCATAAAAAACTATATATAAGTTAAGTATTAGTTCTTATATAAGCATTAAATTTCGAATGCGCTCTTAAATATTTTAGTAAAATTCCTAACTTTGCCACCGTATACGAACCAAGTCAAGCACTCATGTTACTATCCATGCAGTTTCGACCGACCTGAAAAGTCCACTTATATTTAATTTTTATTTGAAACATTGGCAGCTGACTTGAGTTTTCTTAAATTTTTTATTTTCCATTTTTTATTTCTGGTTTTTTTTTTATTTTTCATTAGGAAACTAATGTTCGTCTTCACCAAAAATGTGGATGAGATCTAGTTTAGTCAGGTCACATGGGGTGGGGGCTAATTTCCTAAACCTTTTTATTTTATTTAAATGTCTTGTATGGTAGTATAATATACTATCATAATCATTGCTCCTTTTTTCTTTTTATTTCCTTATTTGTTTATTATCTCTTCAATTTTCACTCATTTCAAAACCTTATCTTTGGTTCAGAAGAACAAATGTTATACTGTGTTTTATTTTAACGAAGGTTAGTCGTTAAAGTTAAACGCAATATTATACTACGATTTATTAAAAAAAATTATTTTTAAGGAATTGTGTTTCCCTTAAACGCAGTATTATACTGCGTTTTCCTATTAAAATTGGGTCGAGTGAAAGTTAAGTCAAAGCCTCCTTTAAGCTCAATTATTGTTAAAGGTAGATGTAGATATCTCTCCATTTATTTGTTGTCCTTAAGCTAGAAATCTGAAAAATGATTATGTACCAAAAATTAAAAAGGCTGAAAAACGCATAGGAAACAAAAAGGGGTCAACATTAACGGCTTCTTCGTTTTATGGATAAGAAATGAAACCACGAGGGACATAACTAGTGGTATAATTGGCATAGCTGTCTCTTAATTTTTTTAAAAATTGAGAATAATAATGTAATATTCTTTTTTTTTTACTAAATATAAAAGATATATTTTTTATCTGATTTCTGTTTTTTACTTCTTTTTCTTTATTGCAAAATTTTTGTTGTTTTATGTTGGGAACAACCTTTTTATCTCACACACGATAAATATATGGCCTACGTATACTCTAACATCTCCAGAGGCACATATCCTATTTGTGAGATCAAAGTGGGAATATTATTGATGTTGTTGTTGTCTTATGTCGAAAAGTTTCAGGAAATGCAAAGGATGCTGTCTATTAATCGTTAATTGCAGAAGCATTATAAAAATAAATTTACTTTTAGAAAATATTACATTTGTCCCTAATTAATTGTGAAAAAAAAGTTCAAAAGAATTTATAATGGGTAAGGGGTTAACTATTTTCAAGAATTGAATCTCCTAAGTTATAGTAATAAAATAAACCCTTGAATTGGCTATATTAATAAACAAATGTTGTCTTGTTGTAAAAAGGACCAACATACCATGAAAAGGCATATCATAATCATCTTATTAATTCTCTGCATTGGAACTCTAACCTTCAGAATTTGTATTGACCTACTGTCCACTATAGGAGAACATTGAGTCCGACACTTAAATAGTATTAAAATTGGCACAAAATACGTTTTTACTGTTAAAAAAAAGTTATATAAATATATAAAATGCAGTATAATATTATGTTTTACTTTAATGAAAAGTTAGTCGTTAAAGTTAAATGCAGTACTATACTGCATTTTATTAAAAAATCATTTTTTAGGAAAATACAATACAATGTTGCGTTTAACTTAAACGTAATATTTTACTACGTTTTCCTTTAATATTTGGGCTCACTTCTGCAGGACTGCAGAGAATTAATTTTTAGTGTAAACGCAGTATTATACTGCATTTTACACTGAAACGTATTATTATACTGCGTTTTATTCTGATTTTTGGGCCCACCAATAAGTGTTCTGCGGATAACTGACATAACAATAATTCAAATACATAAAACGTGGCGTTTTACATAAAATAAATTCTGCACCCTAGGCTCGGACTTGCCTTATTTAAAGGCGTTTCAATTTTATGAAAATTCATTCAATACTTTCTT